TCTAGCCCCGGCAGCTGCCGACTATGGTCGCTGAAGTGTGGAGTGGAAATCATGGGATAGATGTCCCAAGACGGGACAGAAGGCCTTCCTGTGCTGGCATTGGTTCAAAAGCCGCATGCCGCATGACATTGACTGAAATGGACCCCGGACCTGCTGTATGTATTCTTTTCATCAGGCCATATTGAATATGTTATGTTTTCTTGCGAAGAAGAAATCTCGCTACGCCTAGGCTTTGCGACCCACTTCGCATAAGAGAGCCTCCACCCAGGTCCGGATGCCTTTGAATGTGCTTGCCAGCTTCAGCCAAAAGCTAGGAGCAAGGACGCTACTAGGAGCAAAGGGCATCGCTACCAGGAGCAAGGACGCTACTAGGAGTTCCTGGCCTTAGGTTGGGCCTTACTTGGCTCTCTGGGCCCGAAGAAAGTCACGGGCCAAGTGGGCCGAGTTGTCTGATTTTTGAGTGTGTGGGATTGGACCAAGGCTTCGCTGAATATCTCAGAGACCGATACAAGGGCAACAGCTCAGTATTCCTGGCTTGTTGAATGGGTCAGATGGCTCGGAATCTTGTTGCCGGCTGTTGCAGCTATTGCCTGTTTCCCCTCACTCCAGGTCTGCTTTGGTGGGCGCTTCGCTACAGGGCAGCTGCAGGAACCTCAGTCAATGAGGCCCAGTTTCAATCCCTCAATGAGCTGAGAAGTCGCAGATCAAAGCAGAAAAAGAGAGAGTTGCCTTCTTTGAGGTTTTGCTCCGACTCTTTACTGTAGCTGAAACTTTCGCTTCACCTTTGAAGTTTGTTTGCCTGCAGTAAGGTGGCCCAATGCCATATCCACCTTTGCCTGGACCTCGATTGTCCATGGCTTTGGTGTAGAGGATTTCATGCAGTAGGAGAAGACTTTTCGCGGTTGCCTTTTCGCCAGGCGCTGACCTTCGGACCTGGTGTATGGTCAGAGCCCCATCAAGCCTAATAGCAATGGCCTCCAACTTACTAGCGATGGCCTCCATCCTAATAGAGATGGTCTCCAACCTAATAGCAATCCCAAAGCCGGAGAAATCCCGGCTACGGAGAAACCTGAGGTATTTCCACTCCCTACTTCCGAATGTTCGCCCTGGCTACCTGGCGAAGGGGAACAAAAACGGTGAAGGGTGACCCTTCACTGAATTTATTTCGGCTGTGCCGATTTTCATGCAAGCAAGGCTTGATTTTCACATCTCTTCTTGGCCTCTCGCAGTGTGCGACTTGGTTGCATGCTTGAAGCCGGCCTGACGAGAGTGGACAGTGGCCTTCGCACCAGAATGCGATGTTCCACGAGTCTGTTGGAAACTCTTAGCAACAAGAAGATACTAGTGGCTCCTGGCCTTACTACTAGGAGCAAGGACGCTACTAGGGGCTCCTGGCATCGCTACTAGGAGCAAGGACGCTACTAGGGGCTCCTGGCATCGCTACTAGGAGCAAGGACGCTACTAGGGGCTCCTGGCATCGCTACTAGGAGCAAGGACGCTACTAGGGGCTCCTGGCATCGCTACTAGGAGCAAGGACGCTACTAGGGGCTCCTGGCATCGCTACTAGGAGCAAGGACGCTACTAGGGGCTCCTGGCATCACTACTAGGAGCAAGGACGGTACTAGGGGCTCCTGGCATCGTTACTAGGAGCAAGGACGCTAGTAATGATAAATCATGATGGGTTCTTGCTTTGTGCAGGTTCTTGGGGTGATCATCCTGGTGACTTTTTTCTTAGCGCCGCAAGCCTCAGAACGGGAAACTGGCGACCAAAGCAGTACCCCAGCACAGCAGTTCACCTGTCTCTATTTGTCAGGTCGACCATGAATCCAGGGATCATTCCGCGAAACGAGTCCATTCCGCGGGACCCGGCACGACCCTTTTATGATCACAGTGGGGATCATTTGTTTTCGCAAACGAGGGTTGAACATGATACTTTGCGGCGACTCACAGGAGCTAGAGCAACAAATGGACTTAAGAGGTGTTCCTCGGCATCGCTTTTTGCCTCTCAGCAGCAGTGTGGTACGATGTGGCTGATGTTCAGTTGCAAAAGAACGTCCAAGCGCCGCTAGAGTGGCTAAGGAAGATTTGCGAAATCACTGTCAAGCAGAAGCGGTGTTCTCAGCTTGCCATGCTTTCTCCTCTGGTTTGCTGCAGATCCAGCGACAGGTCATTGCAGGCACATTGACACAGGTTCAGATTTGGATCATTCTAAATTGCCGGTCAATGATGACGGCCGCGCAAATTTGAGCGAGGTTTTGCGCCACATGCAACATTTTTAGACCACCACGTTCGAAGCACTGCTCTTTCTGTGCCTCCGACTAGTTTGTGGATGTAGAACGTGTGTATTTTTTGTTTGAGCTGAGCACAACTGATGAAACCATCTCTCACCTTTGTTTGCAAAAGTTTGTGTGTCAGCCAAGCATGCAGAGATGGAGTTTCCAGTTTCTACTGTAGTTTTTGCAAGGGAAGATATGCATTGCACCTACGATGTGTCTGGAGCTGCAGGTGACAATTGTATTTTGCGCTTTGATCATCACTGCACCTGGTTGGGGAACTGTGCAGGATGGCTCAGTTTTTAGCATCCTTGAGATTGTTCAACCATTTCAGACTGGGATGCAGTGGAATTCATTCGAAAGCCATTTGAGGTGGGCCTTTACAACTACCGCTACTTTGTAGTTCTGATCTATGCTGCCACCATTTTCCTCTTCGAGTTGCTTGCCTGAAAATGGGCTTCGGCCTTCACCCGCACTACTATATCTACTTCATTACTTCAAAAGAGTCAATAATAGGTCCGGGGGTGAGCGGTAAGCCCTACTTTTTCTATACTTTTCCTTCAAGATATCGGTTGTAGGGATCTGAGCCTCTCATCAACTATCTCTTGCCACGTCCAAAAATGCTTTCCCCCGGAAATCTCAAGTCGTCTTGTCACTAGCATCGTGCTCTTCGTCCCCCAAGCTCAGCGACAGCTCCATTTCAGCTCGCCCTGTTTATTTCAAGGTGCCTTTATGTGAGCGGCTGCTGTTTTGGTCAGGAGGCAGGGCGGCACGCTGGTTTGGTCAGGCCTGCTATTTCGTCCTTGAAGTCCTGCCTGCCACTGTTGAATCCCTGTCTGGTCATCTGGAGTCATCTGACAGGCAGCGGATCTCTTTGGCCCAGACTATGGCATCCTGGATGTGCTCTATGTGCTGACACAGGATTTACGTAAAATTGTAGATGAACCAGCGCTCATAGCACTTGATGCATTGTGATTCTGATTATGCAGGATCTCTACATGGTATTTTTCTTTATATATTGTCTTTTCTTGATGTTCGCAGTCCAGCCCTCAGTGTGGATGTAGAAGTGATTCCTCAAGCAACTCCAGTGTGGTGCTAGGTCATGCTTCTTGCAGTGTACCACACCGTGATCTCCATACAGAATTTGACGACCAATGAGCATGTGCCATTTTTTGTCGGCTTACCTGAAATTGGACGCAAGTCGCGAGTGAGTTCTTGGCAGGTGAAGAACTACTACCGGGAAGGGCAGAATCCCTTCGACTTTGGCGGGCACAATCTCAGAGATCGACTGGACACGCAGAGCTTTCGGCTTTTGTAACATTTTGTAACCACTTTGATCGACTGCTTTGCGTGCTGGATCTCATGTGGTGCACCTGTGATATCGTTTGAGGTACAAGAACTGCAAGCAGATCTATTGCTACCCAGAGCGGCTTGGTGGATCTTGGGTTGGTGGATCTTGGGGCCTTGCCAAAGTCGATAAAAGGACGATATCAGGAGAAAAAATGAGAAAAGACGGGTCTCCAGTTTCTAAGATCTCCAACCTACAAATAAAATAGTTAAGTTAAATAGCAATGGCCTCCAACCTACTAGCGATTGCCTCCAACCTACTAGCAATGGCCTCCAACCTAATTTAATAGCGATGGCCTCCAACCTAATAGCGAAGGCCTCCAACCTACTAGCGATGGCCTCCAACCTACTAGCGATGGCCTCCAACCTACTAGCGATAGCCTCATAGCCTCCAACCTAACAGCGATGGCCTCCAACCTACTAGCGATGGCCTCCAACCTACTAGCGATGGCCTCCGACCTACTAGCGATGGCCTCCAACCTAAGAGCCTCCAACCTTTAGTAGCGATGGCCTCCAGCCGACTAGCGATTGTCTCCAACCTACTGCAATGGCCTCCTGCCTAACAGCAATGGCCTCCAAGCTACTGGCGATTGGTCTCCAACCTCATAGCGATGGCCTAAAAGCAATGGCCTCCAACCTACTAGCGATGGCCTCATTTTTGGACATTAGTTCAAACGTGTATTTGATTAGATTTACGGATTTTGTATCAAAACTATTTGTCGATTTATCCCTGACCGTATGAACGCCAAGAAGTCAACACACACGCAGAGTGTACCAACATAGAATCCGACGGTTATGACATGATAGATTGTCAATGCTCTATCGATAAATAGTGTTGGAAAGCATTTGCGGCTGAGTCTGCCATTTTACAAAGAAAGCCATGTTTTGGCAAAACAATCCTGGCCAAATTGCATTTGAACAAACAAGGCACCAATTTTGCAACAACTAGCTGATGGTACTTTTGCTCTGCCTTAGCCATGATTCAAGTTGATGCTGAGGCTGGTTTTACCCGAGGGTGATGACAAGATTGAGGCCGCTTTCAGGGATCTATGATCTAACCACAAAGGGTCAAGCAAGAAGCCTTTCAATTTACAGGTGGGCTATTTGCCCTTTGGCTCCTATTCGGATGGCCAATCCTTTGATGAACTCTGAGACGAAAAGGAGGAAAGGATCGAGTGGATCGAATTTCGATTTCGTCAGCTGCCCGTGACTGTCTGAAGTATCAACCAACGCCACGACTGAAGTCGAGAGCAATTGGACTCTCCCGGCAGGAAAAAAGTAGCTCGTCCGACTTGCTCGAAGCAGACAGCAATGCAAGTAATGTTCGATTGATTTCGTTTTTTGATCTTGACGTCGCAAATTCACAAATTCACTTGATTCAGGTCGCAGCCACCTTTGATACAGCGCATGGTAGGTCATAGTAAAGTCATGGAGCGGCCAGAGATCCGTGCTGTAGCAGTCGCAGCGGCAGCCGCAGGTGCTTTAGCAATGAGCCGTGCTGAGGCTTTCACCGCCATCCGAAGCCCATCAATTTCCCATGGTCGAAGTAGCGCAGGACATGCGGCAACACGCGCAGGACAGGCTGAGCCAGCACCTAGAGCTGAGGCCTCACCCCGAGCTTTGCAACGCTGGGGCTTGGCTTTGGCTGGTATGGCTACAGCAGGAGCTGGGCTTAGGAAAGCTCGTCGCAAACTGCAGCGGCGAGCCGTACCTGAAACTCTGGACTTTCTGCAGCAAGTGCACGCTCAAGCGTGGGATCATGGCAATGCCAATCCCAACGACTTTCTGGAGCAAGTGCAACAGTTTTGGCAACATGCTCATGGCAATTCTGTGCCAGCAGCAGATCTAGCTGCAGCGTTGCAGCAGTGGGCGGACAGCCTCTCCGAAGGCGCAGGTAAGCTTGCCCATGAAATCGTTCCTCCTGCTTATGCAGCAGAAGTGGAATTGGACCCCAATACGACATATCTTTATGGTTCTGATGGAGCAGTCTTGGTGGACCCCATGAACAACAAGCCGATTACAGATGACTGGTGGAACGGCTTCATTGGATTTCAGGCTGGTCTCATCAAGGGCATGGACCAGTTGCTGCGTGACAATGGCACAGACCTCAGACAGATTTGATAAATCAGTCTTTACCATGATTGTTTGAAGATTCAGGACCCTAGACGCATCGCTACTAGCAACAAGGGCGTCGCTACTAGTAACAAGGTTCTTTAAGTCTCTGAGGTGTTGAGCAAGCCTTCGGATGGACCATCGTCCTTTACACAGCCTTTATCAAGCTCTTGTTCTTCCCCTTGACACAGGCAAGAGAGCTGTGCCTAGAAAGCCATAAGAGAAGAGAGCTACATAAAACACTGTGAGATGCAGAGCAGCAGAGCATTGCAGAGTGGCCAGGGACAGCTGAAGAGCACCTCGATGATGCAGCTGTTGAGTCCAAAGGTCAAGGAGATCCAGGAGAAGTACAAGGCGCCCGGATCAACTGCGGTCCACTGGTGGAATTGAACGAGGGACCATCTTGGTGGTAGTGGCTGAGGGATTGGCTGTTGGAACACACTCTCCAATGATTGATGTGCCTGCAAACAAAAATGAGACATCCTGCGAAACCCAAACAACGCCACATTTCATTTTTCCCGTCATAGCTGAAAGCTACAGCAACTTTTCGTGTGGAACAGCGCGGAACCGTGGAACAATGGAGTTTTTGAGTGACTTCAGAGCCTGCTACAGTCTCGGTCTTGTGCGTTCTGGAGCCGTCCCATGATCCCATCCCACTGGTCTAGCCCTACGTGTTTTGCATTTTGCCATTGTGAGACTGTGAGAGACAAAGCGAGCAGAAAGTATCGAAAATGCCTTTGGGGTCTATGTAGATCTATGCCATGCAGGCGTGGTTAAAGTCTACAAACAGATTCTTTTCTGTGCTACCACACTGCCCACCACTTGTCTACAGTGACAGTTGAGAAACTCTTCGGGCCACAGTGACAGCTTTAAGCGCTTCAATGGCAGCCACTGGTATTTGCAATGCCTCTGGGATATTGAATCCGACAACCCAGCATCATCATTAGGCCACACCAGTGGCACCGCGACTGAAAAAGCTGCCACGCCAGACTTCTCAGCTGGCTGCCAGCTCTGCCAACAAAACTGTCTCAGCCAGAAAAGTGCGATCAACAAGCTCATTCGCATAGCGAACAAACTGCTCACTCGCTTTGCACTGACATGCTTTCCATCCATGCAGTTGCTTTAAAACAGCACTCTAGATGATGTTCAAGTTTGTTTCGCAGCAACAACACAGCTGATCCAACAAAGCCTGCAACATATTTCTGGACAAATCATTGCGGAAACCATTGTTGCAATAGTTTATTTATTGTAAATGTGCCAACATGTGCCAACCATCAGCAACCCCAAATCACAGAAAAACATATCAGTTGTTAGTTATCAACACTATCTATACTAGCTATAAACCAGCATCCCCAAGTCAAACATGTCAAACAGACAACAACACCAAATGCCCCAACTTATTTGTGTCTCGCGGAGGACGATCCAGAAGCTCAACAGCGATTGTTGCAACAGCTCTATTCTGTCATGGATGTCAACCCGCCAGGGCCTCAGATTCAGCTGAAACATGATTTTGTCGACTTTCTATTGCATTTTAGATGTTGAAAAATGGAGCGCTTCGGTGGCACCTTCTGAAGGTCCAACGTTTCACAGGTTCCAACCGTGGAAAAAACCGAACCTTTTCTGAGGCTTGGCGGTTGCCTTCCTGTTTTGCTCCAGCTCCCAATCTTTTGGAGCGACGGTCATGCGGTCATGTCACCCTCCAGATATGAAATGAGACATCCAGTATTATAATGTACTATACAATATTGGTACATATTATATATACAGTTGTATCAGGAAATAGATTTCAGGCTGTCCAAGTTCATTCAGTCAGTGGGGTGTCATGGTGAAATGGTGCAGCGATCGTCACTCTGCAGGAGTTTGTACGGTGTTTGGCGCCGTTTGGCGGCTGAGAAGTTTCCTCACTACACGGAGGGATGGCTTTGGGTACCGTCGCTCGCACAGCCAAACCCAGACTTTCAGTTCAAGACCCTTGGCAGGATTTGGCAATTCACTGATCATCACATCATACTAGCTCGTTACTTGTAGTCCAAATCGTGCGGGATTTTCAACCTAGGAGTAAGGCCAGGAGCCCCTACGCATTGGTTCGGTTTGAGGTTCGACTGGCTGCTGCAGTGGAAAGATGGGGCTCCTGAAATGGGATGGTCTGACTACCTCGCTTACCTAGTGACTCGGGCAGATCTCAGACGCCTCATGACTCATGAATCCTTTTTTTCCATCAGATTCCTAAGCTTTGAACACGGCATATGGCAAATTCCAAGGTCTTTCCCGCACTTTTGGTTTCAAGCACCATCATTCAGCAACAGCAGGCTGGGATGGGTGGGTACTCTAGCTTTCTAACCGAGCATGCCTTGCTGCTGCTGCTGCTGCTGCTGCTGCCTCAAGCAATTGTACCATTGAGAGCAGGACACGAGCACATCAACGGTACACTGCTACCCTTTGTTGATTTGTTGAGGGCAATATACATCAAAATATGTAAGCTGGCTTGAGCACATGTCTGCTGTGGCAAAAAACCACGTGACTTGTGTGCCAGTAGAAAGGAACGTTTTTGCATGTTTTTGCAAGGTGAAGGTGGCACTTGGCCCGCATAAGGCTCCATTTGTAAAAAGATATATCCACTCCACTCCCTTGCTGTTTCTTCGTTCTATGGGGCAGCTGTGTAGCAAGTTGCCCCATGTTTGAGTTTGGCTTGATCATTTCTCAGCCGCCAATAGCTGGAGTTGGGATCAACAAAACATTCACGGTGAGACTAGTGGTCGCTACTTACAAGCATGATGGCGGGATGACTGGCTCGAGATCATAGCCCGGAAGAGTCGAGGTAAATCTTACCGACACCATAAAGCAAAATTGATATCGCAAGACTGTCAAACCACCTTTTGACTGGCTCAAACCGGCTGTCATATTCTGTGCCGTTTGCCTGACCCAGAACGAAAAGACTTTTAGAGCAAACGGAGGTGTTGGGTATTTGGAAGTGTTTGTGAAGACCGAGAAGAGCGAATCAACCTGGCAACTTTTTCTTTGCTTGTAGGGTTTTGATGGGTTTTCTGTATTCACGTCGCTTCGCGACGGTAACCGCCCGCACCGGATGGAAGGGGACAATACATCCACCGAGTCCCGGAAGGAAGCCCGAGCTGCTTGTGCTCTTGGAGCCAAGGGAGTGAGTATGAAAGGAAGTTTCCGACATAGCGTCCATATTGTCGGCCCTAGAACGGCTCTCCCTCAACGTGGCTGAACATAGCTTCCATATCGCCTGGAACGTCGCAAATATAAGGTCCAACTGGAGCAGAGAGAAGCAGAGTCATCAGGGGAAGGGATGATGTGGTATTCGATGGTTCAAGGGCCTTTTTTAAGTAATCGTGGCTGCTGAAGGGCCGCCACCACTGCCGGAGGTATCACGATGGGACGGTTGACCCTGGCAATTTCCTTTCCTTTTCAAACAAGCTTGGGCTCAAAGACCGCAGCCATTTAGGGGCCGATGCTGCAGAGCCGGTCAAGGATCTGTAGGCGGGAGGTGCTTGCAGTATGAAACGAACATGGCAGATGATGACATGGTGGAACACATGCAATGCAAACAGTATGGGATTGTTGATCCAGGTAGGGTTCGCTGTCCTTCTCAAACAAGCTTGGGCTCAAAGACTGCAGCCATTTTAGGACGGGTTTCATCAAGGCAGGAAATGGTCCATTTTTCGAAACGTAGGCAGAGTGCTGTAGAAGGGTCGCCACGACTATCAGAAACGGGTTCTTGTGCCGCAGTCATTTGAGCAGCGTTCAAAACCTCCATGAAAGAACCACATGATCCGATTAATCTACAAAACGGTCGCGTAAGCTAAAGTCTGCACGGCGTAAGGGTTGCGTAAGGTTTGGTGGAAGCAAAGGTTAGGACAGTCGACGCGTAAGATGTGCGTAAGCAACATTCAGTCTTCTAGTGACACTACTACTTACTTTGTACTGGTTGACTACCCGCAAATTATGTTTCAGAAAGCAACAAGGTTGGAAGTGTTGTTTGCGCAGGGGAAGTTGAGTTGGTGTGTTTTCCATTGAAAGCAATAGAGGACACTAGGTTGCTTGTTGCA